GGGGAGGTAGGGACGTGGCTGGGGCGTTGGCATTATACTCTCCTCGGGGCGTGCGTCCTGCCCCTCGCCGTCGTGTGTGTGTGTGTGTGTGTGTGTGTGTGTGTGTGTGTGTGTGTGAGAGAGAGAGAGAGCAGTGTCCAAGAGTGTTTGTGTCTGAGCAGTGTGTGTATGTGTATCTGAACAGCGCAGGTGAGTGTGCATGTGAGCAGTATGCAGGAGTGTATGTGTATGAGTGTATGGGGGGGGGTGTCTAACCAGTGGGTATGAATGGGGGTGTGATTGTGTACGTGTGTGAGAAGTGAATACGGGTGTGCATGCTCATCTGAGTGTTTGTGTCTGTGCAGTATGTGTGTGTGTCTCTGGATGTGTAACACAGGGGAGTGTTACACAGCTGAACACACACAACCCCCCAGCACAGTGTGTAGCCGTGTCCTGGACAGCCCCTGGCTGCCTGTGACACCCCACCCAGGACTGGCTCTCCTCCGGGCTGGTGTATCCTCTGCCCAACCTGCCAGGCCTGTACAGTGGCACTGAACTGAAATAAAGAGTGTGTGTGTTCAAAGTGTGTTTGTGTGTGTGTGTGTGTGTGGCGGGGGGGGGGTTTCAGTGTGTTTGTGTCACTCTAGGCCCGGGGTGCGTTTGTCCCTGTGTTTGGCTGATCTGGGGCTTTCTCACCAGCCGACTTTGTCGCCATCTGATCCCCTGATATATCCTCTTGAAGTAAGGGAGGCCAGGCTGGCTGGGCCGGGGGGATCCGGGGGAGGCCGGGCTGGCTGTGCCCAGGGGGATCTGGGGCAGGCTGGGCTGGCTGGACCAGGTGGATCCGGGGCAGACTGGGCTGGGCCCAGGGGGATCCAGGTGGGCTGGGCTGGCTGGCTCCAAGGCCGGTTCCCAGCCACCCCTCTCCACTGACACCGGCCATGGGGGCTCTGCCAGGCCCCTCTGCGCCAGTCCTGTCCCATTCACCCTGTAGTGTTCTCCGGTGCTCATGGGCTCGGGGTTTTGACACCCCCACAGTCCTGGGGCAAGCCCAGATCTGGGCCTAACCTGCCCATGACCCCCTCAGCTTGGACCAGCCCCAGCCCATCCCGGGCAGCGGGCAAGGTCCAGGGCCTGTCCCGCGCTGCCCAGCCCCGCTGGCTCCATGGATGTCAGTTGGTGGTTAGGATGTTGCAGGTGTCGGATATGATCCCCTCTGGCCCTTGTGGTCTGTGGCAGGCTGCTGTCACCATGACGGTTGGGAAGATCATCCAAACACAGGGGAAGTTTCACAGCTCTGGGGCAATGGGCTGAGGCTGGGGAAATCGGCAAAGGGACGGGGCTGGGGGGTGTCTAACTTTAGGAGGAAAAAAGATTCCATTGAAGGCCCTGAAGAGATGGTGGATCAGAAGAAAAAATGCCCAAATTGGGGCCACACGACCGCCAGATAAAGCCATGTGGATTGCTCGGTGAGCTCTGCTCTGTCAAACAGCTTGTGTTTCAGTGCAGCCGGATGCGAGGTCATACCTCTGCCACCGCGTATTGCTGTGTCTAGAAGGGCGAAAGCAATCCTTGGGGGGATAAACAGCGATGTAGCGCTGCAATGCATGGACCCAAGGAGTCAAAGGTGTTAACATGACCCTGAAACAGTCCAACATTCACCATTTGTAATGAAGGTTTGGGTACCCAGAGCTCTCGGCCTGCTCCGTCCCATGGCAAACACACCACTATGGATATTTTTAAACCTTCTGTTAAAGCTCAGGAAAAGGAGGACAAACAGTTGAAGCATGCGACATGTAAAGTATCAAGCCTGGCTTTCATTTTAAACAGCATCCGTTATTCCTCTTCTCTCTAGCTGCAGAGAGGTTTTATAAGGAACCCCCGGCCTCCATGTGGCAGTCTTTGAGATGGCATTAAAGATGGTAATCAGTGTCTTTTTTGGAGAGAAGAGCCATTAGTTGAGATTGGTTGGAGCTGTCATGGTTGTTGTTGTTAAAGTCCCATCCAACTTCCCTTAAGACAAAACAAGACAAACACACACAAAAGGGGAGAGAGAAGAACAGCAAAGGGAGAAAATGCAGTGTCTGTCTCTGGTGAGCATTGGCTTGCTAAACCCAGGGTTGTGAGTTCAATCCTTCAGGGGGACATTTAGGGCAAAAATCTGTCTGGGGATTGGTCCTGCTTTGAGCAGCGGGTTGGACTAGATGACCTCCTGAGGTCCCTTCCAACCCTGAGATTCTATGGTGTTTACTCACATGGGCAGGTCTGATGTGGTCAGAACATCCCTCAGGATGAGGGTGAAGATGGTCTGGGGTCAGGAGATGCTTGGGGGGCAGACATGATGGTGGAACTTGTTCCATCCCCTTCTTTCAGTCAGCCAGTGTTGTGCTAACCAGGATCTCTTTGTGAGGACCCCAAAGGGAGTGATACATGGCACAGCCCATCCCCTCATTATTTCATTCACCAATTAGTCCTAATTTCCAACACACAAGTTTCAGTTCACTGATTCCCAGTTCCACACTTCTCCTGTGTACCAGGATTGATCTTAACACAGGCCTCGAGTTATAGTGGGAGACCCTTTTGTTTAAACTAATTCACTCTCTGTCTCCCCTTTGTTACCTTTCCCATCAGCTCCCAGTGTGACTCTGTGGCCAAAAGAGCTAATGCCATCCTGGGATGCATAAACAGGGGAATGTTACATAGGAGCAGAGAGATTATTTTACCTCTATATTTGGCCCTGGTGCAACCACTGCTAAAATACTGTGTCCACTTCTGGTGCCCACAATTGAAGAAAGATGTTGATAAATCGCAGAGGGTTCAGAGAAGAGCCACGAAAATGAATAAAGGATTAGAAAACCGCCTTATAGTGATAGACTCAATGAGACCAATCTAATAGAATAAACAAAGAGAAGGTGAAGGGGTGACTCAATCACAGGCTGTAAGTATCTACATGGGGAACAAATATTTAATAATGGGCTCTTCAATCCAGCAGAGAAAGGTCTAACACGATCCAATGGCTGGAAGTTGAAGTTGAACAAATTCAGGCTGAAAATAAGTTGTACATTTTTTAACAGCGAGAGTAATTAACCATTGGAACAATTTGCCATGGTGGATTCTCCATCACCAATTAAATCAAGAGTGGGTATTTTTCTAAAAGATCAGCCATAGGAATAATTTTGGGGCAGGATTCTGGCCTGTGCTATATAAGAGGTCAGAGTAGATGATCACAGTGGTGCCTTCTGACCTTGGAATCTATGAATCTATGAATAGGGCCCTACCAAATTCATGGTGCATTTTGGTCAATTTCACGGTCATAGGATTTTAAAAATTGTGCATTTCATGATTTCAGCTATTTAAATCTGAAATTGCATGGAGTTGTAATTGTAGGGGCACTGACCCAGAAAGGGGCCGTGTCGTGGGGGGTCGCAACGTTATTGTAGCAGGGGGTTGCGGTACCTCTACTCTTACTTTTGTGCTGCTGCTGGCGGCGGCGCTGCCTTCAGAGCTGGACAACTGGAGAGCAACAGCTGCTTGCCGGGAGCCCAGCTCTGAAGGCAGAGCTGCCACCACCAGCAGCACCGAAATAAGGATGGCCTGGTATGATATTGTCACCCTTACTTCTGCGCTGCTGCCTGCAGAGCTGGGTCCTTAGTCAGCAGCCAATGTTCTCGGGCCGCCCAGCTCTGAAGGCATCAGCACAGAAGTAAGGATGGCATGGTATGGTATTGCCACCCTGACTTCTGTGCTGCTGCTGGCAGGGCATCCCCTTCAGAGCTGGGCGCCCGGCCAACAGCCACTGCTCTCCAGCCACCCAATTTTGAAGGCAGTACAGAAGTCAGGGTGACAATACTGTGACCCCCCTAAAATAACCTTGCAACCCCCCTCCAACTCCCTTTTGGGTCAGGACCCCCAATTTGAGAAACACTGTTCTCCCCCATGAAATCAGTATAGTATAGGGTAAAAGCACACAGAAGACCAAATTTCACAGGAGGAGACCAGATTTCATGGTCCGTGACATGGTTTTTCATGGCTGTGAATTTGGTAGGGCCCTATCTATGAACAAGGGCATCTGGACAAGGTGTTGGTATTCCCAGGCCTGGGTGGGATTGTGAATTTGTAGCTCTGCCGTTCCTCTTCCCACCTGACAAGCTGCCTCTCAGATGTCCTGAACTGGAAAGAGCCATTGCAGGGAATCATGGTCTGTCCTGGCTGCCAACTTCCTCCCATGTAAATCATGATGAAAACATAACCGTTGCTGCTAGCTCCTTTCAGGTGATGCAATAATTTCAGAAGAACTCAGGCTTGGGCTGTAATAAGCCACCA